TCATGATGAACTTACATGTTGGTCTTTTCACATTCTTCCCATACATATTCACTACTTCCTCTCAATAAGAGTATTTCTTAAGTGCTAACAAACTGTCTTAAATTATTGCCTTGTTTAGGAACTCTCCTTCCTCAGTTTTCTTCCCTCTTTCTGTAATTGACATTAAGCAGACAGCAGACCTTTTGCATGTGTCTTTCACATGTCTTAACACTTCGTTCATTCTTTCCACCTATTTAATGTTTTGCACTGCATTCTGGGAGAGCTTGATCTGTTTCATTAATTCAATCCATTTGCTATTTAACGCATCTATTGAGATCTTTATTTCAAGAATCAACTTTTTAATTTGAAAAACTTTTGGATGCTTTAAAAAAAAAAAAAAAAAGGATGCCATCAGCTCTATCATTTGTCCGAGACATACAATGATACTTAATCCCTAGTCTGATTCTATTTGCTCCATGAACTCTATTTCCTCAGGGGTAAGTTCTTCAGCTTGTTGAATTTGATGTCATGGTTTCATGGGTTGGATTTCTCAAGTATTTGGTGACTCTTGGCTATGTTCTTATTTTTAAATTTAAGATTTCCTGCCAGCCCACCTGATTTCCTGCCTGCCCACCCACGCTTTGTCTGCTCACCATGGTCCAACTCCAGGGATAGCGAAGACACAGACTTTTTTTTCTGGATTTGGAGGCTTCTGTTTCTGAACCCACCCACTAAGGGTACAGCTCCTCCTTTCCAGACTCACTGCCACCATCTGGGGGGAGGCACTTATGTCACTTACTGTTTGGGTGAATGGGAAGGGGCTGCTTCTATTAGACCACCCCGGTCTATCACCTGTGCTCCAGGTACCCACCCCCCTAGGCAGGGCCAGGTACTTGGCCTTATTCACTGCTCTCTCTTCAGTGTGCTTGCTTCTCCTTAATCTCATCTTCTATAGTTTCTAAACCACTGGGGGTGTGCCTTCCTGATCTCCCATTTGGTTTCAGAACACACACACACACACACACACACACGCTTTTCTGTTATTTCTAGATATCTGGGGTGGGGCAAGGCTGCTGCCAGCATTCCATCTGCCATCTTGACCCACTCATCCATATGTTAGTACTTTCGTGAGAGAGGAAAAAATCATAATGGCTATCACTTACTGAGACCCTCTTCTGTTTGAGGACAGCTGTGTTCCCGCTGTGAGTTGGTATCCTCACTTCCTTTTCAAAAGAATCTACAACAAAGCCAGGCTGCCGCCCGTGGGGACGGCCGCGGCGGCGGGCAGACCGACCTGGCGTGGAGGGCACGGCGCAGGGGACAGAGCGAGGCTCTGGAGTCAGGCAGACCATTTGCTGGCGGCGGGCCCTGAGCACTGGTTGTGCTGGTGGCAGCAGCACCGGTAATCTTTCAAGTGCCAGGCACGTAGTGAGCATCTGCTATGCCTCAGGTAATAAACTAATTAACTGTAATCCCTCACACATCCTAGAGGATAATTGTTGTCCCTGTTGTACAGATGAGAAAACAGGCCAGAGGGGTGAGCCTCAGCCTTGTCACCTGTTAAACAGGCATGACAATACCTAACACTCGGCTTTGTTGGCAATTAGCATTAACAGACATGATGCTAGGCATGTAATGCATACAAATACCTATTTGCTGAATATGCAAAAGTGAAATAATCTATGTAAAATGCCTGGCACACATATAGTAGGCACTCATTAAGTAGAAGCATATTACCATTATTATCATCACCCTTATTAGTAGTATTCACTGAGATGATGACGTTCAAGGGTTTTACATTCCTGGTTTCAACTATGACTATGTATTAATAAGAGCACCACCACCCCTCCCACCTCCAGATCTATGACACGGACTGACTTATAACTTTGCTAAGGCACGAATTTGAACTGCAAGTTGAAAGGCTGGTGAGTGGGAGTGGAAGTGTGCCCGCATCTGTCTCCCAAAATGGCTTTATGTTTTTATTTAATGTATGAAGCCAGTTAACTCTCAGTACAACCCTGAAAGACAGATGTCATAATCCCAGTTTATAGGATGATAAACCTGAAGAAATGACAAACTATGGTCACAGGGCAGTGGTTTAGGAATCTGGGCCAAGTGGTCGGATGGATGCGATTCTCTCTGATTCCAGAAACAAATTCTTTGAGCCTCAGTTTTCTCTTCTGTAAAATGGACCTCACAGTGCCTTTTTTTGTCAACTCTGTTAGAAGTCTAGTCATCACTCATCCTTCAGTGCCTAGTGCAAATGCATGGTGGCCACCTCCAAGGATTAGAACCATTCAGGCTGAAGTGTCACCACATGCTACCACTTCCTGTGTCCCGTCGCTCCCCACTTTGCAGGGAATCAGCCAGTCGTGTGTGTATCTGCTGCCACCACCAGGTGGCGAGAGACTTAGAAGTCCCTGAAGCAACAATGAGGTGGCTTCCCAACATCTTCGAAATGGGGCTGCCCTCTGATAATTCAATGATTTTAAAAAATGGAATGGAAACAGAGATGTAGAATATCACCTGTGCCTGTTGTTACTGTACTGACTCTCAGCTCCAAACCCACCCTTCTTCCATACTGTGCGTTCTGGTGCTGGAGCTGGGATTCTGCAAACGGCACTTCTTAGTGCAGCTGCCTCCTAGTCTCTGCCGATGGGGGTGCTCCAGGGAGCTACGAGTCTGCAAGAGGAAAAGGACTTGCTCTGTCCATCCTGTTTGCTCTCCGTGGGATTCCTCTGAGCATCACATATCCACCTTGGCAATGGCAGTGTTCTCCTATGACACCAGCTGAGTGCAGTCTGAGGGTTTTTCAACACGTGCAGACCAGTTTCTGAGTCTTAATAATTCCAACATCTTTCCTTTGTTCTTCAGCCCTAGGGGAGGTAGCCACTTTCTGCAGACATGACTCCCACAGAAACTTCAAGTTATTTTGACCCTTTTTCAGGTACCTATTTAACAAGTTTATACCAGTCAGTAATTCTTCATATTGGTGTGCGCCTGTTCAAATAACTGGTGTGGTCTGTCTCCTGACTAGACCCTGACTGACGCATCCCCTTGAAGGGGTTAGAACATGCCCCAGGACAAGATGTGACTATACACCTAAATACAGATGTAAAATCTTCAAAGAAAGAGAGTGCCCTTCCCAAGAGTTGGTCAGCCATAGAAGCATGGACCAGGGAGAGGCAGAAGCATAAATCCCAGCAGGACATCGTCAGCAGTGACAAGAGAACAAACCATCATCGTTTATAGCCTAGATGACTGTAAAGACCTCTGCTGTGTCCTCCAGAAATCTGTACATTGAAACCCAATCAATCCCGAATGTGATTGTAGTAGCAGGTGGGGCCTTTGGGAGGTGGTTAGGTCATGAGGGCTCTGGACTTATGCAAGAGACTCCGGATAGCTCCTTTGCACCTTCTGCCATATGAGGAAAGAGTGAGAAGATGGCCATCTATGAACCAGTAAGGTGGCCCTCACTGGACGCCAAAGCTGATTGCACCTTGATCTTGAACTTTCCAGCCAGTCTATGGTGTTGTGTTATAGCAGCTTGAAAAGACTAAGACAACCTCTATTGGAGAATAAGACTACCATTCAATCTCTGCAACCAGCTGAATTTCTTGTTTCTTTAAGCACAGGAGCACTTTGACAGTAGGCATACTGTGGACGAGCAAAGCAAAGCATTGGTCTTGCATAGGTTTTGAGAATAACTTGTTTGGGGATTAGGAGTGGTTAAGAGAAAGGGTGGACACCAGCTTTAAGAAACATATTCACTGCATGTTTCAATGAATCTGCTGCAGATTGGCTGATTTTCGAAGCATAGACTGTCACTGGTTAGTTTCAGAGAAAGATTTAGTGAGATGAGTTGCCATCATCACCTTAAACCATCAACAGGTTTAAGAGCAATTCTGATGGTTTCTTATTACTAGGGCCATTGAACAATCTGTCTTTTCCTACTAGTGTGGGGGCTTTTTAATATTCACATACTATGTGGACTTCTTGCTTCCATCTTTGAATCCTACTAGCCATTCTCAACACAGCCTGATCACAGCAACCAACCAGAACTTTTTCAAAACACAAATCAGATCATGTCATTCCCCTGTTTGCAATCCTCTAGTGACTTCCCATTAAACAGAGAATAAAACTGAAACTTTTTACAGCAGGACTAACAAGGCTTGTTTTAGCTGGTTTCTCCCTACCCTTCTCTCCTCTTTGCTTCTGTGATCCGACCACCCAGTTCATGATTTTTTTTAACCGTCTCACACATGTGTTCTGTCTACTTGGAAGAACCTTCCCTTCACCCTTTACCTGGAAAAATCCTATTCGTCCATCAGGTCTCAATATAATAATCACTTCCTCAGAGAGGGGTCTCCATGGCTACACTATCCTCCTGCTTTGGTTGCTGGAATCTGGGGAGCCTAGCCCAATCATTCCTCTATAACATTTATCACAGTTTATAATTACATTTATTTGTTTATATGCTGTCTGTCTCCCCAGTGTTGTTATGAATGCCTTGAGGACAGGGGCCATGTTTGTTTTGCTCACTAGCATATAGCCACTGGCTAGCATCCATTGAGTACTCAACAAGTATTTGTGGAAAGAACAGATAAACCATCATGTGTGGAGGTCTTCCTACAAAGACCGGGGCCTCTCCACATGGTCACCTCCCCCAGCCAGCCCCCCACTGCCACCAGGCCTTCTGGCAAGAGTGGGCCTTCATTTCTTCTGTGATGCCTGCACCATTTTTCAAAAAATGGGCAGCTACTCTGGACAAACCAGGCCAGTGCAGTGAAACTCGAGGAGACGTTTACTGGAGTAAAGGAAGCGTAGACCAGTGAAGGCACCCCCAGCACCCCGAGGCTCTGAGCTCCAGGCCCGGCTACAGTTGCAGAGGATGAAGGCCAGGCATGGTGCAACAGAGGGGCCCTGGGTTGGCGAGGCTGTATCGTTCTCCCTGCTGCATCAACCACAAGCCACACTCCTGCACACACACACATGCACATCTGGTCAGGTCACTTTCCCTTTGACTGAATGCTACTTTGAGGTAGATGCAGGACATTTACTCACTTTATCTCACATAACCCCCTCACCAGCCCCATGAGTCAGTTCCTACTATTTCCCCTATTTTACAGGTGAAGATAATGCATTTCAGAGAGGTCAAGCAAATTGCCCCAGGACCCACAGAAAGGACAGCAATATGCAGCCAGCACAGCCATACGGACTGGTAAAAATATGGGAATTCTTCTATATGCATGGTAAGTAGTAGCCACTTGGGACTGCTGAGTGTTGGCCCCATTTCCCCAGCAGCCCTGACCTTTCCCTCCACCTCTAACCCCTTCACCTGCCCACATGCCAGTAACGAAAGGTCTAAGGCCTTGGCCATACTGTGGGGGAGGTGGAGGGCGTGCCTCACCGGTTGCCACATATCTTACATTATTCATCAGGACTGTCTGCTGCTATGGTAAGCCACGGTTTTACTGCTGCACAAGCAGATCCTGGGGCCAAGCCCCGCGCTGGCTGGGGGCTTATCACCTGTTCAGACAGACGCAGTGGGTTCTAAGACCAGTCACCCAGAGGAATCCATAGCCTCCTTGAACTTGCATGCAGAAAAGCAAACTCCCCACCAAGGCCTAGCATGGTTACCATTTTCTAAGAAGTTATTGAGTCACGGCTGACTGGCTGGCTGCTCCGAGCGAAGCTCTTTACAGGAGACTTGCCAGGGGGCGCTCCAGACCGCAAGACTGGCCACGCCGTGGTCCCCAGAGCGCAGACAGGAAAGAAGGTCAGAGTCCGCTCCTTCCAGCCGTGTGAGTTGTGCAACAGATTACTTACACCCCTTGTGCTTCAGCTTCCTCCTGTGAAAAAACGGAAGGAATAACAGCAATTCCTAATTCAGAGGGTTGGAGCGAAGGTTAAATTAGATGCATAAAGTCCCTAGAAGTAAATAAAAGAATGTAAAATCCTTAAAACAACGCCTGCCCCCCACCTCAATGTTATGTTGGTAGGTGATAGCTATTATTTTTATTTACCATGTGTGCTAGAAATGTCTCAAATCTCACTGACTATGCTTCCCCAATGCCTTCTTTTTTGACACCCCCCAATACCTCCCCCCTTCCTTTAGATGTCGGGGTGACCTCCTGCGCCCGCCAGCAGAGGGCGCCAGTCTCCCGCCGGGGCCCACAGGCCGCTGCTCCCCGCCGTCTCCAGCCCCCCGCCCTTCCTCGCCCTTCGCCAGCACAAATACGCGATGACCCCCCAGTTCCTGGAAGAACGATCTTCACAAATTAAGTTTTCGTGAGTTATGTGAACCCCCCGCCCGCAAGGGCTGATGCTAGACTGGCTGTCTGCCTCCTGCCCTTTTCTTCCCGCTTAAAGAACCAAGTCACCATGAATTTTCTTAACGATACTTTATTCGCCTGTTTTAGCCATTTTTCTTGTCTTTCTATCTGAGGCAGGGAGTTGTCTTAAGGGAGACAGCACAGTGTTGCAGAAAGGACAGAGGCCTTGAAATGAGACAGAACTGGGTGTGAATACTGGTTTCACCACTCAGCCATATAACCCTGGGAAACTCCCTGTGCCTCAGTTTCCTCATTTGTAAAATAAGGGTGGTCACAGTATGTGCTTCATAGGAACAGAAGGATCAAATGAGAACTCATGTAAAAACCTTAGCACATAGTCTCGTCTGTATCCAGGCTTCATAAGTGTGAAAAAAGAATGAATTGAAGAATGACATGCCCAGATATGTTGTTTCCACAGGGTAAGATAAAAAGAAAGACATGCACTTTGAAGTCAAACTGACTTGCGTACCACCCAGGCTGTGCAGCCTTAACAAGCTTTTTCACATCTCTAAACCTCAATCTTCCTGATCTGTAAAATGGGCACTCTAGTATACCATAGGAAGTTGACAGTTTTAAGTGTGATAATGTATAAAATAGCCTTCAATATAAATCTTGGCAGATAGTAGACCCACAATAAATGTTAGTTCTATTTCCTTTAGCAGATTAATGCAAGTTTTGATGTTTATGAGCTACCAGATAAAATTCCTTCTGGTGGGGTGGCAGGGATTGTATTTTGATAATAATTGTATGTCAGAAGGGTCATGCTTAACTTATGAGTGTTTAGAAAGATTCAAACATATGTGAAGTTCATGGAGACCTTCCATTTACCCATGATTTATTTTTGTTTATTTAATGATGCAATAAATAAGATATTGACCCCATAATACACTCTAAGTGCCAGGGATACAGCTATGAACAAGACAGTCAACATCCCTTCCATCATGGAGCTTACAACAAATGTGAAAGTCAGAAAACAAAAAGCAATATACTGTGACGTCCAGTGCTAGCAAGAAGATTAGAGCAGGTTAAGGGAACAGAGTGGGGTGGAGGGGCTGGATTATAGGAGATAGAGTGGCCAGGAAAGATTTGTCTAAAGGAAGTATTATAGCATGACCTTAATAAAGTGAAGAAGTAAGCCATGGGATGACCAGGGGAAGAGCATTCCAGGAGAGGGAACACCAAGTGCAAAGGCACGGAGGTTAGAAGGAACTGTGTTCGAAGAATGGGAAATTTGACTGTAAGACTCAAGCGGTGAGCTAGGGGGAGAGTAGAAATAGATTAAGTCAAAGAAGTAAAGTGTCAAATGATTTAAGGTCTTGTAGACCAGCAGTCCCCAACTTTTTTGGCACCAGGGACCAGTTTCATGGAAGACAGTTGTTCCATGGCCCCCCGGGCAGGGAGGTGGGTGAAGGTTTCAGGATGATTCAAGTGCATTACATTTATTGTGCACTTTATTTATTATCACATTGTAATATATAATGAAATAATTATACAACTCACCATAATGCAGAATCTAATGCTGCAGCTGATCTGACAGGAGGCGGAGCTCAGGCAGTGATGCAGGAACAGGGAGCAGCTGTAAATACAGATGAAGCTTCACTTGCTCACCCACTGCTCACCTGCTGTGCAGCCCCAGTTCCTAACAGGCCACAGACCAGTACCAGTCCATGGCCCAGGGTTGGGGACCGCAGTTGTAGAACATGGTAAAGATTTTTGACATTATGCTCCTCACCATTCCAAAGATGTGCCCTATTATAGCACACATGGATGCTGATGAGAAAGACAAAAGCATTGATGTTGCAGGGGATAACTGCAGAAGAAGAGTTTCCGAGGTGAGAGGAAATCTTGGGTACAACTGCAGAGTTTTGCCCTTACACAGGAGCAGGGTGCTGATGGGGTGGATTGGTAGATTTGGAGATGAGAAGATGAGATGATTTTCTCCTTATTCTTTCTGTTTTTCACCTCCAAAGAAATAAGGTCCTCAATTAAAAGTGAAGAGTTGAAGGCAGAAGAGAGAAGATGCAAGATAGCCTCTGGGCAAGTGACAGCGAATTGACAAGGGCAACGGCAGGATTACCCTGCGGTTGCAGAGGACCCACTTGAGCCAGAAAGGTTCTGTATTTTTCTCCAGCCTCTTTCACTAGCTGGGCATAGGTATGGCATGGTGGTGAGTTGGGTTTGAGCAGAGCTGGGACTCTCCAGGTGAATAACTGGAGCGAGAAAGGAGCATGAGAGTTGAGTGTGAACACAAGGGAGTGGTTACAGCGAAGACCAGGGTTCTAAGTTGGGTAAGGAGGGAAGTGAGGCCCCAAAGGGGATGACAGAGTTCACAAGTATGTACGGTCAAGTGGATTAGAGAACTGGGAGGAGTATTTTGATATGTTCCAGTTTCAAATGTGATTTTAGGGGAACTAATTATAGCTAGTTCACTCACACAGTAAATACTTATTGAAAGCCTACTATAATTAAAAAAAATTTTAAATTTACAATTTATTGGGCACTATGTGCCAGGCGCAGTGCTAAGTGTTGTGTATTTACCATAACTCATTCAATTCTCACAACAATCCATTAAGGCTGGTATTGTATTCTCCTCATTGTACAGATGAGGGTACCAAGGCTCAGAGAGAGCTGGTAACTTACCCAGGGACACACAGCTGGTAAGCAGCAGAGAGCTTTATATGATTACAAAGCTGAGGATCTTAACTACTATGCTCTACCATATGTAAGACATTGTGTTGGGTTTGTATAATCATGACATTCAGCTGCAGGTCCTCTTCCTCTTTGATCCCAGCCTGAAAACAGAGTCCCTGATCTCAGTTGCCCAGTAGTAGCAGCTGGGATGTAGGTAGAGTGATCTGGAATTCTTCATTAGTGTCAGTCTTGGTGGAGCAGTCAACCAAGATGCCTGCTTTTCTTAGCTGAAGTATAGACATGTTAACCAGAGCTTGGCCTATTGGACTCTTGCTCAAGGACTTTGATCCAAGAAAGCTCTGATCAAGGAAGTGGAGAAACGCATGGAACTGATTAATTTTGGCTACCTAAGCTCCCAAGCATCTCTGCTCTCCGTCCTTTTCTAAACCTGATTCTCCAACTTCTGTCACCTCTGTGAGTTGGACACTAGCCTGCCAATGAAATCCTTTCCTGATAAAGTTAGCCAGAATTGGTTCCCAAGACTTGCAATCAAAGAACCTGCACTTGCATATTCAAGAAAAAAAAAAAGACCAAATAATTGTAAAGCTAAAGCGAATGATTCATTCCTTGGATAAATGTGCATTATTAAGCAGGGCCAGGACTGGATGAGGCAAGTGAAGCACCCAGGGCACAAAATTTAAGGAGGTTCTCACTCTCGGTGTTGGGTGAGTACAGGGTTGGCTCTAACAAACACCTCCTTTCCCCCCAAGAGTTGGTGACTTAAAGAATAAAGATTATTTCTTTCATATAAAAGCATGAAGTGAGCATCCCAGGTCAGCAGGTAGCTTTCGGCTCCATTGCTCATTTGGCACCTTATATGCTGTGGGTCTGTCTCCCAGCACGTCTTCATCATCACAAGGCCAAGGCTGGGGCCAGCCAGTGAGAAAGTGAAAGAGCAACCTCTGCCAGGGCAGTGGCAGTGTTAGCTCTGACTAAGCCTCAACCTCCCTGAGCATCACTTTACTCACCTGTAAAATAGGACTAATAAAAATCATCTTGATCCCAAGACGTTTTGAGGATCAAACGAAACAACATCTGTAAAACTGCTTCGCAGACTGTGAAGTGCCATGTAAGTGGTAGTCACTATTTAGTCTCTTCGCTGAGTATCCATTTCTTGATCTGTAAAATGGACAATGAAATACCTACCTCCCGGGATTGTTGTCAGGATCTTCTAGACGAATTGATTAAAGGATAAACTTGGGAATCAAGCAGGCGTGGCTTGGCATCTTGTTCTGCCCATCGCCAGTTATAGGGTCTCTGACCCTCTCTGAGCCTCAGTTTCCTCTTCTGTAACAAGGGGATCGGCATACGACCTACATCGCAGGGCTGCTGTGAGCATTAAGAGAAATAGCAGGGGTGAGTCGTTGGCGCGGTGCCCGGCCTTGTTCCGATCCGCAGGTGCAGTGACGAATGCCACCTCCCACGGATCCCTACCAACAGTACAGCTGAGTTGTACCCTTCTGCCTCTGCTCAGCGCCCACGGGCAGCCCTGGGTGCCGGTATAATTAGCTCCATCTCGGTGGTGCCTCTGACACGACTGTCACCTCCCACTCAGTTCCCCAAACCACAGTTATCCCCACTGTTGAGCTGCGTTAAGTGCCCGCTGGGCACAGAAGGGAGTGAAACCAGAGCACAGCTTAGTCCTCACAACCTGATTTGTCACAAGGAGCCAAAGCCTTTTCCTTCACTCTCGGACTGCGGGGGGGGGGGGGGGGGGGAAAGTTTGGAGGAAAAAAAAAAAGCTGCCTGTAGGGTCTGCTGGGAAATCACGTTCCTCCAGACCTGAAGCCCGCGGGAAATGGCATCCTGTTTCTTTAAGAGGCCTCTAGTAGGGGGGCGGGGACGGCCGGCGTTTTTCCCTCAACTGGCAGCTGGGCCCGCCCTTTCTTGAGTGACAGATAAACAATCCAATTGAAAAAAGAGAGTTCAACGTGACGGCGAAACGGAGCAATCGAAGCCTGGGCCGGCCTGCGCGGGGCGGGGTCCCAGGAAGGCGGGGCGGGCGGAGGCTGGAGGAGCCGCCGAGGCTAGACCCGGGCGCGGGAGCTGGGCCTAGGTCAGCGCCCTGGTGAGTGAGGGGCGCTCCAGGGGCCGGGGCTCGCCGGGCGGCGGAGAGGGGCCGGGCCCGAGGCACGCAGGGAGGAGAGGCCGGCCCGGGGTTGCGGCCTGCATCTGCCCTGGGGGCTGAGGGACTGGAGAGGGCGGGCCTGGGCTGGACCGCGCCGGCTCGTCCGGCCCTCGAGGGGTCGCGGCCCAGCAGGGTCCGCGGGGCGTGAGGGGAGACCGGGTCCTGGACCCAGAAGGGGCGTCGGGTGGGGGAGGAGGGCGGGCCAGGCGGTGAGGCGCGGGGGCTGGGCCGGGCAGCGGTCGGAGGGAGGAGGAGGTGGGAGGAAGGGGGAGGGAGGGGATGGGAGAGGCTTGGAGGGAGCCGGGGGACCTTCGGGGCGGGGCGGCACGGCTCCAAAGCCCGGGGTCAAGCTTGACCTCGTCCATCGCCGCGCCCCGTGGATCCTGCCGGCGCAGTAGCCGTTCGCTCCCCCGTGCATCTACTTTCTGTCTCGGCCGCTCACCCCTCAGTTCAGGCCTGTCGCTTCCTGCCTGACACTTGCAGTGTCTTAACTGGTCTGCCCACAAGCCCTGGGGCCGCTCTTCTGCCCGCCTCGCACCCTGCCCAGAGAAAGCTTTTCAAAATGCAGATCAGATCTGGACACGCGGGCATGAACCTGGCCGGCTTTCCACTCCTTGCAGGGTCAGCTCTAGATTATCCCCCAGTCCATGGAGGTCCCACCGACCTCTCCCAAGTCTCAGTCCACTAGTCCCACTTGCTCAGTTTTCTCCACACGTTGGCCTCTTTTTGTTCCTTCTACATCCCAGGCTTTTGCCTTCCTCAGTGCCTTTCACTAAGTGTTCTTAGTGTTCTCCCTGGGCTGCTCTTCCTCCCTGGCTAATAAACTTCTCTTCATCCTTAAAATCTTTGCTCTGGTGTCACTTCCACAGGGGAGGCATCCCTGGTTCCTGAGTCCTTGACCAAGTCAGTTCTCCACTTCCATCACCCTGTGTATTAATACCTCTTCACAACACTTGCACAACTGCAGTTTTGCATTTGTTTACGAAAGTATTAATGCCTGTCTATCCATCCCACCAGACAGTAGGATCCACAAGGAAGAAGATAGTGGGTGGCTTTGCCCTTTATTGTGTCTCCAGCATCTTGCACAGGGCCAGACACTACAAATATCTACTAAATAAATGATATTTATTTAGGGGGGGTTGGGTTTGGCAAGAGGAAGGGGATGTGAACTGTGGTCTCTGATGTCCTACCTGTGAAGGAAGGAGACCAACATTTGGAATACTTTCTGTGTGCCAAGCTCTGTGCTAGATGATGTTCAGTAGAAATATAATGTGAGTCATATATGTAATTTAAAATTTTCTAGTAGCCACATTTTTTAAAAGGTGAAATTAATTGTAATATATTTTATTTAACCCCCAAAACATTATTATAACATGTAATCAATATAAAAACCTTACTAATGGGACATTTCACATTTTTTGGTACTAAGTTTTTGAAATCTGGTGTGTATTTTACACTGAGGACAGCCCATCTCACTTCACAGTAGCCACTTTTCAAGTAGCCACATATGGCTAGGGACTGTGGTATGGGGCCATGTAGTGCTAGACACTTTATATACCTGATGGTGTTTAATCTCCTCTAGACTTCTTTTAAGATAACTATTGTTATCTGCTTTTTGCTGATAAAAATAGCGAAGCTCCTTTAAGATGTTACCTGCCAGGGACCATCCTAGAGGTCATGAGCAGAAGAGGCGGGATTAGGACCTCCATCTGTTAAGCTTCAGTCTGGTCTTTCTGTACCTCACTCTTCCTCTAGGAGGTGCCAAGACAGTTTGGGGGTGCAGGAAATGGAGACCAAACTTCTTAAAAACGATGGCAGTGTACGGCACAGTCTAGCATGTCCCAGGCCAAGATAATGTGTCTGGATGTAGCAGTAACATCTGCCGACGTGGCTCAGGAAAAAGCATATTTGATGCTATCAAAGAAAAACCTGCAAGGCAAGTCCTTCTTCGACCCAGTCAACATACCTCAGCCCAGCCTGTGCTAACTCAGCATGGTCCTAGAACCTGGGTAGAAAAACTTAAACACCCTGCAGCATCTCAGAGGTGCTGGGAGTACTGGTCATGGGTTTACAGTCTGGGTTTCAGTTTAACAGTTGCTCACCAAGTGCCTACTGTGAGGCTGGGTGCTGTTCTAGGCCATTTGTGGTGATTGGGGAGTATAAGTCACAGCCTTCATCTTCAGGATACTTATGGTATACTCAGCAAGACAAGACTGGATCACGTAAAATGACTAGATGATGTGATGTGCAACACATCAGTGGCTGTCTTGGCCAAGCTGCGTATGTTATAAAAAATGTTGAATTTGAACTCCACTCCTCTAGGCAGTGTGGTACTTTGCAGTTTGCCCAGTCCCCACATGGAGGGTACTTGGTTTATTTACTTACCTGCCTGGCTACTTAAGGCATTTGAATTTATAACCCCATTAGGCATGCTGATTTAATTTGAGTCACAAGAAAAGATTTGTTGAGCACCTGTTATGTGCCAGACATTGTTGGCTGCTGCTCTGGAACTATCTATAAAAACTTTCCACAGTTCTTCCTCTAGGAAATTGTAATATCAATAATAGTACAACACTAACAAATGCTTTCCCTTTTATATCGACTTTTCTCCCCAAATGCCTTCACATATAATCTCTCATTTTGTAATCAATATACAAAATATATACCTGCTTGACAGGTAGGGCTTTTTATGTTGGGGAAACATGGTTACAGTGTTTTTGTAATTTCTTCAAGTTCACAGTTAGAATTCTGCTATTATGCTTAATGCTTTATTGTCCCACTTAATGTTTACAACGACTTTACAGGACAGGGTTGATTATAATTCCCACTTTACAGAGATGAGAAAATTATTAGATTGAGATCCAGATCCAGGTCTTTCCCACTCTAGAACACAAGCTCCTGTTAAGCTGCGCTGCCTCACTAGAAGATCAAGGTTGGAAGAAACCTCAACGACATCCAGTGCAACCCCCTCATGTAGATCAGGACCTTGGTCCAGAGAGCCTTGTGCTTCCACAGAGCTGTGCTTCAGGGGAAGGACTACGTGAGAAGGGGGGCCAAGGCCTTCTTTTGTCCCAAACTGGTGATGTGGCCTTGCCAGCTTCTCTGGGCCTCAGTTCCCTTTTTTATGTAATGAGAGGGCTTGGCCTGATTTTACACTGAGAACAATGCCATGTTGTTGTGGTCAATGTTGAAGGAGTCAGGCCCACAGCCCAAGATTTCCATCATAACCCAGGACTCTTCACAGAACACTGCACTCCCTTGCTAGCCCAGCTCCGTCTCCCTGGCAGCCACAGTAGTCTCTGGTAGTCTCTTGAGGGCAAACACTTTTCTGAAGTTCATCTGTATTTTCCATCTCAGTTTGTTTCCTCTCATTTTCCAAAACTGAGGCAGATAGTCAGTAAACACTGACCCTTTCTAAATCCATCTCCTCAGTTATTGTAGTTAGGGTTGTGGAATGTTCTAGGCAATTGATAATCCTCTGTCAGGAATTTTTATTCTCTTTTCAAGGCAGTTAGGCCTGGAATCACCCTAGAGAGTACTTTCAATGTAGAATTCTATGGACACAGTTGTGTGCCAGGCACCCTGCTGCAGATGGGTGGAAAGCATGTGGGTGGGGGCGTAGACACAGGCTTCATGAGTCCTTGCCCTCAGGATGCCAACCATCCTTGAGTTGTGGGTCTCCACCACTGCCCATTAAAATCTTCTGAGGGAGCTTTTAAATGGCCTGAGGTGGGCATTGATGATAGGCAACCGAGTTGAGCTCCCAGACCTGAACCACCCTGGGATCTTCTTTGATGGCAGATTCGGATTTGGTAGGTCTGGGTTGGAGGGGCGCTTCCACGTTACTTCTGCAGGCTCCTGGCATGCCGATGCTGCTGGTGTGCAGGTTACACTTTTAGTAGCAGGGAAGAGACTGCACACAGAAAATTGAGTACAAGTGTACAGAGAATTGAGTATGTGCATGAAGGCATGTGTAAAAGACTGGGAGCGCAGATGGGGGTGCAATTAATCTTACCTGAGGTGAGAGGATTAGGAAAGCCACACAGAAGTGTGATTTCCTTAGCTGGCCCCGAAGGTTGAGTAGAAGTTTGACAGCTGGACAAGGAGAAGAGAATAATAGCACAGCGGAAGTACAGACTCAGGAGAGTGGGGTTTTTCAGGGAACAGGTGGTCTGGTGAGAACATAGCATCTGCAAGGGTGAGTCTGAAAGCCAGTTCCACCCAGAAAGCCATGGTAGAATGCTCTACTGAGGAGTTTAAACACTATTCTTTAAGTATAGGAATGCTATAGAAGGTGTCTATGCAGGGTAAAAGGAAACCTAGGCAGTTCTTAGGATAGGAGTTAAGATGAAGAAACCCAAACAGTCACCCTGTCCCCAAACCCTCACTCACCACACTTTTCCTCTATGTAAGATAGTGGCTTTTAGCATGTTTGGGTGTCTGGTGTCCAACACATTTCAACAAAAAGGAATCTCAGTTGCTGTTAGTATGGTGGTCCTTCCCAGGGCTTTGAGCAGTAAATGTAAGAACCTGAATCTCTGCCAACTGAATCCACCCTCTTCTGCACCTCCGAGCCCCATCCTTATTCAGTGGG